CGTGGGGCTAGCTACGACAGATAGATACAAATCCAACCGCATTTGCATGTATGTATGTATGTATGTGTGTATGTATGTGTGTATGTATGTATGTATGTATGTATGTATGTATAATAGTAACAATAATGCATTATGCGCATTGAAGATGCCGATTACGCTGGGTTGCCATGCGAATTAGGCATTCATATTGCAGCTACCGACTGCGATTGCCAATTGCACGAATTGTCGATTGATTGCGCGCTTGGCTGGCAGCAGCAACGGCATCCGCATCAGCAGCGGATGTCAGCCTAATTATGGCAAAGCTGAGGAATCAAAAGCCGTTTGGGCCAAACGCTTTCAGCGCATTCAGACGGATGATCGGCCATGGCAATCGCTGGCAATGTACAGGCATGCCAGCTGTTTGAGGAACGCTTGAAATGTTTTGTGCCCAGCGCCATCGAGTGCCTACCTAATTATCACATCACAGCGATATACATATATACTTAATGAAGTACGGTCGCATACAAAGGCCACTTAGCTGGGCGCTGGGACACGTGACACGGCCGCAGGCAGCGACGGCGACTCGACATGCCGAGCACGTTTGGGTGTGCCAAATAAAATTTCAAATTTTTCATTAGCGTGAAAAGCATCAACAGCAACAAGAACAAAAGCAACAGCCGAAGAGGAGCAGGAACAGCAGCAGCACCAACAGCAACATCACAAAGAAATCAACTTTATGTAGCGCCTGCTTTTGAACTTGGATAATTAACGTGACTTCCAAGGCAACAAACCGAACAGGCGACATTGATGGCCGCTCTGCCAGGAGCTTTGCATGCTGGCATATGCCACGTATTCCAGGAATAGGCCTACGCGCAAAAGACAGCAGATTGCTACAGTCGTAACATGCAATGGAACTCGCGAAAAGTTGAGAGATTTTTGAGATTTTAGCTCCATTGACTACCTTGACTCTAAGTCTACTCCATAATAACTGATGAAAATAAAATAAATAATGCACAACATTCCTTTTTATAATTAAGTGAAATATTCTTCTGGATAATACACCTCTTTTATAATACACCTCCGATTTAATATTGGAAATCTAGACATCCCATTAACCAGCTAGGGATCTTCCTTTACTATTATACGTAGCTCACTTAGTGCACAGTATCCAACTTTACTTTGCCATCTTATCCATATTTATGTACCTTAATTTAATTTAATTAAAAGTACCTCAACTAAAGATAAACACAAATTAAAAGTAGTGTTTCTCCTCGAATTATTCTAAACAAGTTTAAGAACCACAATTATGGTCGCTTAGCTACAACTTGACTTGCATTAACCACAACTTTCAGGGAATTGGGCAACGGGAGCACAAATGGGAAATGGCTCAAAGGCTCTTGCCAGACCGAACTCAAATTTCATTTGGCCTTTTTGGTTAGTGCGTACTGCATGCAAATTCCCACACACACACACACACATACACACACACGCCACTCCACAGCCACGCCCACATACACTTGGAGCCGCACTTCAGAGGCATTTTTGGCTTGGCTTTAGCGGCATATCCTTCATAATTTGACTCACTCGGAGTCTGGCTGCTTACGTATCTCGCTCCCTCTCTCTCCCTCTCGCTCTTTCTCTCTCTGTCTGTTGTCTCTCTTTTTTTATTGCCGCGAATATTGCCGCTCATAACTTTTTAATACGGACGTTTGCCCTTTAGAAACAAGTGCCGCACTGACGCTTGACAAAAAACTTCTTTTCGCATTGCCAAACGGATCCCCGACCGCGCATAAATACACTAGCACACACGCACACACACACACACACACATACATACATACATATAAACATGTTAGTGTATATGTGTGCCATGGGCAAGCATATTTATACGCAGGATTCATGCGATTCTCTCTTTGCATGCTCATTCAAATGTACGCACTTTGTTTTGCATGTGCGAGAGTGTGTGAGTGTGTGAGTGCGTGAGTATGAGTATGTGTCTGCGTTTGCGTGTGCAATTGCTACCGTGTCGATGCCATTGGGCTTATCTTGCGTAAATGCCACCACAAGCAGCAATCAAAATCGCATTTATTCCAGCAATTGCGAGTGTCACGTTCATTATTTTATATTAAATTTGACCCAGGCAAGCTGCCATTAGAGCGCACACACGCATTAACTTAAGTGTTAGTACTTATTACACGCACACACACGCAAACACATCATATTTGCATACACAGACACAGAGAGAGAGAGAATGAGAGAGAGAGTGAGACAGTCACATAATTGTATTTAAATTAATGCTGCGAGCCTTGGCAATGATATCAAATTGTTGTCGATAATAACGCGACTGCACAGGTGTAATAATTGTTGATAAAAATCAAATACCGTATCCTTATCGACTTATACAATTGGCATTTGCCATGAAATACACAGTTCAAAGAGATAAGTAAATGACTAATTTGATTCATAGGCAAGATTAATTCATTACAATAAATAAATATTGAGCAGGCTGAGGCGATTGCTGATTATGTCAGCAGTTCAATTTTCTCCTACTTCCTGGAAATGCAGTCACATTGCTCAAAATGTGCTTGGCATACATATTGAACTCACGCAGCTGCCGGCTCGCTCCCCTCGCCCTCCCCTCCCTCCTCGGATTATTGGAGGTTTCCTTGACAGCTTCGTTGAAGTAAAAAATCAAATTCCGTAAAACAAATTCACAGACTTCTCTAAACAGATGCCACAGCGTCCGTAACCACGAGTAATTTCTGACATTTGCATATTGCGATTATCTGACAAGAGGTCCTGCGCCTGTTGCTCTAGGCGAGCATATGACTTTTCTTTTGTTCCGGGGTACAGCGGTACAGCGCCTACTGCCATTAACAGAGACAAAGGGAGGCCACAGCACACGCTGCACGTACGTGTCAGAAAACGCTTTGGATGCCATCAATCTCCAGGCGGGCACAACAACGACAGATGACAATCAGCGAGCAGTGAGGTGAAATGTGGCGACTAAACAGGAAAACGGGGAAACGGGGGAACAGAAAAACGGAAAAACATCAAGGCAACTTCTCCAATTGATTATCGCATCAAGTTGTTGGCATGTTAGCGGAAGAGACCCGAACTTTCTCCCCAATGACATGTGATGCTACACAAGTCCGAACTTCGAGCAGCGCCCCTCCCATGGGAGTCCCCTTTTATGGCGCTTCACATAAAACTGCTCTGTTGTGTTATATTAAAAATCAGAAAAACAGAAAAGAGAGAGAGAGAGAGAGAGAGAAAAAAGAAAACAAATAATGCGTGGAGCATTGCTTGCCTGGCAGATCTCTGGTAAGCAGGATTTCGCTAGCATAAAACAACATTTAATATTTCATTTCTAAATGTACATTGGCCATAAAACTACACATTTTTAACAACATATACATCCTCTTTTATGAATATGTTTAAATAGAAGTGAATATATGCATACAATATTGCATTGAGCAGAAAGGAAGACAGGATGAAACCTGATACGCCACAGGATCTGAACTGACTCAGATAGCCTATCTTAAGACGTTTCTAAGGAAAACAAACCTCTCCAAAAACTACAGAAAATTATATTATAAATATTGGCACAGCAATAAAAATAATTTCGTTTATTATTTTGAAAAAAAAAAATAAAAATAAAATAAAATTAAAATAGTTTAAGAAATTTCAATTATAAATATATTTTTATTATATTATTGAATTAAATTATTAAATTAAATTATTTTATTATATTATTGAATTTAAATTCGCATGGATTTTATTGAAAATCCTTTGACGTAATGCCAAAGGTTTCTTTAATAAAAAATAAAAAATAAAATATCCCTTCCCTAAACCGTTTTACAGGGTATCGCCTAGACAGCTAATAGCCAACTAAATGATAAAGTGCAATCTGAGCGCCGTTTAGAGTAATAAAAAGAAGCACAAACCGCTTAAATGCGTTCACTTGGAATGCAATTAAAATATAAAATCCCGATGCTGGCAGATTGTTCAGATGAGCGTACTATCTGTGTGGTAAACAATGCTCCAAGAGAGGGACGGAGAAAAGGGCGCGTGGGTGCAGTGATGGGTATTTTAGAGTGTAAAGTTTTCACATTTTTCATCGACTTAAGCGAGTGAATGTAAATAGAAAGTCGGGACGGGCCTTAATGAACTCGCCGCACAGGACTCAAGCAAATCAACGGCACAGAAAAATGTCAAATAACAACTCAAATAAATAACAGATAAGAGACATAAGCGCGACTGTGAAACAAAGGACACACTGAAGGAGGCTGCATAGGCTTTGTTCCCGTTGCTGTTGTTGTTGTTGTTGTTGATTTCATTCATGGCATCCTCGCTGCGAGAACGCACTGATGTGAGCCGAGCTGTAAATAAGAAAAACGATAAAGCCACTTACCCAATTTCTCGCCGCACAGAACATAGTCAAAGGACTGCGTCAATATCAAGGACAGTAGTGCGAGTCCTAGGCGCAGGCATCCGCACCGAGAACGAGTACGGGTCTGTGTGGGTCGTAGCTCCATTTTCATCTCCGTCTCCGTCTCCGTCTCCATCTCCATTTCCATTTCTATCTCTATCGCCATCTCGCCGCCCTCGCCGTTTGGGGCGTGGCTAGGAGCAGTTAGGAATGCGACGCCCTTAGTTAGACAAAGGATTTCCCTATTAAGTTAGATGCTCTTTGCAAGTCCCACGCACAATTCGTTTGCGCAATTCGACAGCCGACAACAGCCGCCGCCGCTCATCTGCAATTAGAGTGGAGCCGCGACGTTTTGGGGCTGTTGGGCCTTTGCTCTCTGTCCGCTGCTTAAATAGACTTCTTTCCGCTTCGATTCACGCTTTCAGCCAACAGCTGCATCAGAGCATATGGTAATAGACCCGACTGAAGGCACCAGTTCAATTGACTGAATGTGCCCTGCCCGAGCTGCTAGATTCCTCCTTCTGCCTGGCCGCCTTCAAATTGTTAGTAAATATTGCATAAATAGAGCACTGTCCTTTTGTTGTTTTCCTTCGCTCGTCTTATCTTTAATTCAATACTCTTTGGGCCAATTACAGACGTTGCGTTGGCTGTGACTCTCATTGTAGTCTAGATCTGAAAAAAGACATAAAGTGTTTTAACTGTCTAGACTTCATTATTTTCTCAAATTTAACTTTCTCTTTTACAGTTATTTTTATGGATTCAGAAAAGTTTTCATATGAACTAAAACTTTGGGCAAATCTTTTGTCAATTTATCATAATAATTTGGTATATATATTTTTTTATTTAAGAGCTTACCATTCCTTGGTTTATTTATGTAATCCAATGTGAGCTGTGATTTGCTCGTCAATGTAAGCTAATATCTCGAGGCAGTCGAGCCCTGGACGCATTCAATCAAAGTCACAGCTAAGCTCGTTTCTCTTGTCCAATTTCTTGACAATTTGGCTTAGTATTTATTTTTGGCCACGCCGTAGTATCACTATGAAGATATCGCACAATTTCTCGTTTCGTCATTGGGCTTACAAAACTTTCTCAGAATCGTTCGAAATCTGTTTTCTATCGAGCACAGACACAAACAAATGAATATTTATACACTTGTATTTATGATTATTTATCACTTAAGTAGCCTTGGCTGTTGTTTGCTTGGCTGAATCTATTTGTAATGGAGCCCAGAGGACCCTTTTGGCTGGGTTCCGTTAACAACACATTTCACTCGCCCGAGGACATTAATTCGCTGAGTCGCCGACAAGGGGAGTTAGCTGCGATTCAAATTTGGTTCTCACTGATTTGGCATCGACCCCTTCAATCGCAATTTGCGGAAAATTATGGCCAAACAATTTTCACAATTTCATCCACATATTTGCGAATTGGTAGAAAAACAAAACCATTTCGCACACAAGCTTCATTGCGGCCAACAAAATAAGTTGAGTCACGACAAGATTGCTTTAACTTTCTCAAACTTGTAGTATTTTCTCAATTCTTGTAGTTTGAGTCTTGCCTTAGACTTTTCGCATTTCAATTTTTAGCTGGTTCACTTTCACTCTCTCTTTGACCTTTTTTTTGATATTTTGTTTCACTTTATGCATTTGATGCTTGATTGATTGATTTATTCCATTTCAATTCCGAAATTGTTTTCCAAAAATTGTACTTGCACTTGTTCAATTCACTTTCACGGCAACGGAAACGTCCCACTGGCTGCGTTGGGAACACGTAAAAATTGGGAACCGCCAGGCTCGGCGGGGTCTGTTGGTCGCTAGCGTCCGATAGACTGAGATTTGCTCTGACTGTGGTGCGAAACGAGGCAGGACTGAAGCCAAGCACTTGGCATAGAAACGAGTCAAGTACTTGAACGACGCACGATGTACGAGCCAAGATAAGGATGCTTTCCGAATGCTCGTGCAGAGATTGCGAGATGCGAGATGCTGAGGCACTTCAACAAATTTAAGAGCATCGCGAACAGACTGCCAAAGCTTTTGCCTGTGCAGCGCTGGAGCTCTAGTCGCACTGCTCTAACAGCACTCGCCCAGCTGCCCGTGCGTGCGAGCAGTACAGCTAGCTGGGCCCACTGAGAGCACAGCAGGCTGCAAGAGCTTTCCAGCTCAACTCCATGGCAAGCTGGGACACACGCAGCAGTCGTCAATGAACAATGACAACATCGAATTGACAATGCTCGACTTTGATAGCCAGAGCTAGCGGAATATGGCATTAAATATTCCTCAATTTAAACTAAACAGAGAGTTTGCGAAATTTAAATGAGGCCTACATATATATGTATTAGATTAAAAGGGATTAGTTGGGCTTTGTTTAATGAATTTTACTAATTTACGAACAATAAGCCAATTAGCTGAATGAACATTGCACGCATCCACCTTTAACACTTCTCACTCCTCCTCTCAACGGCTCAAAGTCCCACTCATATCATTGTAATTCAGCAGCGAGATGCTGATTGAGTCTTAAAGTGATTTAAGTCATTAAGCGTCTAAAGTTTTATTGGTCACGGCCGTGGCAGGCAGCCAGCGTAACTTTGTGGGATAACTTTGAGGTTTACACAGCCCTGTACCTTGTTTATCTAAACGTATCTATTTGCTTAATGTCTGTTTAACAGCATAAATGACATTGACGCGCTGCCAAGTCCCTAACAGGGCTAACTACCCAGAAGTTTTTCCATGTCTGAATATTGCCCTGCTCTGTATTATAAACGTTATCAGCAGCAATGCTGTTATGATAGAATATCTCATTTAACGCAGTCGGCCTTGGAGCATATCCTCTTATGGTTTTCCCCATTGGCAAGCCACCTGCGAGCGGCTCTTCGTTGAGCTCTTTAAATATGTAAATTGCGTGTAGACTCAAAAAACAATTAGGGAATCGAATAGACAACAACTCAAAGAAGGAGCTACGCCTGAAATTATATAGACATTAATGCATACGGAAGAAGTTAGATTAGAATTGAGTTAAATTAGTTAAGATGCATGAGATAAGTTTTCGCTCTGACACATATCCAAACTTCTGCTAATTGATTAGTTTACTGCGCAATAATTTTTGTGGCCAAATAACTTGAGTGAGCTTGGAATTACTTGACAATAAAAACCCAATCAATTGGTCAACCCTCAAGTATTTAACTATTTACGAATATTTCAGCTATTCACTGAAGGGAAAAAAACACAACCGAAAAGAAGAATATTCAGAAATTCCACATAAATCGGTCGTTTGATTGTGTCCTTGTCAGCAGCAGGAGCAGTAGCAGTAGCAGGAGCAGGAGCAGTTCTCCTGCCAAGTTGCATAATGAAATTCATGGTGCACTCTAGGGACTGGTCTTAAACTCTAAAGTGTTGGGGCTCGCCATCGGACAAACGGCGGCGAACAAAACCCATTAAATAGTTTCTTAACAAAATAAGGACAGTTGAGCTGGCAGAACCCAAAAACTTCAAGTCGAAGACCTTCTCGGGGCACAATGTTGGGCTGCATGTGTTGACACCTAATAAAGGACGGCGGCAACTTTGTGATATTTTGTGATTGTTTCTCGTTAAATAAAAATACCGTTGGCAATATTTCTGTGGCTGTTTCGCTTTTGGTTTACTCTATTAATCCCTTGTTGGCATTTAACCAAATGTTTGCCGCTTTGCATACTTTCAGCTCTGCGTCTTCATTGTGATGGGCGCAATTTACAAAATTGAATTTTTTCCCTACACTGACAGCAGGATACGAGGGACTTTAATGTACGTCTATACATATATATTTGTATGTGTGTATAAATGTTTAGTACGTCTCATGTCACAGCACACAAATTGCCAACAACAAATCTAGATTTTGACTAACATAAAGTACACAGTGAAAGCTAAACATAAATGTGTAAGTAAATTGTACATTGATTAAGC